ATAAATTTTTAAAAGAGAGAAAGAAACTGCTAAATAGAAACTGCTTCTAGATGTGAGCCTGGACTGTAAACAACTGCAGAGAAACAGCTAGCATTTTGATCTCACACAGCTTGCTTGCAAGCATGTCCTCACCCTGCATGCCCTGTTTGCTTTGTTTTCTGTACTCTATGTAACTCTATATTGGCAAAGCCTGTGTTGTGGAAAACTTCACTGGCCAGCTGCCAGCAGTGCACGTGTAAGTCCTGATAAACCCATGTCTTTCACAGCCAGTGCTCCAGGTTATTTCTTTGGAATTGGCAAGCAATACGCTGAGGTTTTCTCAAACCTCGGCTCTTTGCCTAACACCGTATACATGTGCCTTTATTTCTTGCCCTCAGTTCTGTTCCATTGATCTGTGTGTCTTCTTTTCTGCCAATACTATGCTGTTTTGATTATCATAGTCCTGTAGTATAATTTGAAGTCAAGTAGTGTGATACCTCCAGCTTAGTATTTTTTCTCAGGATTGTCTTGACTGTTGGGAGTCTTTTGTAGTTCTATACAATTGTGATAATTTTTTTTTCTATTTCTTTAAAAAATGGCATTGGTATTTTGATGGTGATTGCATTAAGTCTGTATATTCCTTTGGGTACTATGGCCATTTCAACTATGTGGATTCTTCCAAACCATGAAAACAGACTGTTTTTCAATTTCATTGCATCTTTTTCAATCTCTTTTGATACTGATTTTATATCCTCCAACTGTACTGTATTTGTTTATTGTTTCTAATAGTTTTTGGTAGAGTCTTTAGGGTTTTCTGTATATAGAATCATGTCATCTGCAAAAAGTGACACTTTTACTTCTTCCTTCCCAATTTGGATACCTTTTGTTTCTTTCTTTTGCCTGGTTGCTCTGGCTAGGACTTCCAGAACTATGTTGAATAAGAATGGTGAGAGTGGGCATCTCTGTCTTTTCTCTGATTTTAAGAGGAAAAGCTTTCAGTTTTTCACCATTGAATATGATATTGGCTGAAGGTTTGTCATATATGGCTCTTATTATGTTGAGGTACATTTCTTCTGTACCTATTTTATTGTTTTCATCATAAATGGATGTTGTATCTTATCAAATGATTTTTCTGCATCTATTGATACGATCATATGATTTTTATCCTCTATTTTGTTAATGTGGTTTATTACATTGATCAGTTTTTATATGTTGAATCATCTTTGTGCCCC